TTTTTATAATTAACTACTTACCTAACTTTTTTAATCTAATCAAATTAATTAAATAGATTTTATATAAGTATCAGAAGAGTATTATTTTACCGTTCCTGCTTACCTTTCATCAACCCTTGACCCGGTGGGTCTTCCCGGTCCAAAGTGCAGTCCGCTTTTAAAACATTGCTCTGGAGAGCGACTGGAGCCAACCTCCTCCTGCTGTTTCTCGAATTCCTTTGTAGTTTCCTACTCTTCACCCGACTTTCTATATTTTTGGTTTTTCGTCATTCACCACTGTTTCCATCCCACAGAGTTATCTCCGTCGTTTGAGGAATTAGTCCCATCGTCAAAATGGCCAACAACAGAGAAATCGTGATAAAGGAGGAAGACCCTAAAGCTCCCAGATTCGTTTTCCCCTTTCTTCCCTAATTTTAAGTTGATTTGCCTTTCTTGAAGACAACTCTACTGAGGCCTCTGGTAAAGAGGTCGAGAGGCGAACTGGGACTGTGGATGATGAAAGTACTGGGAACGATGGTGCTAAGCCTAGCTTTGTGAGGTTTCCAAAAACCCAGTCGGTTGTTCCTCCTCCTTTGGAGACTGAGGCCGAAGAGTCTGCCAAAACTTCCAATCCTATTATACTCTGGCAGGTATTGTTTTGTTTTGCTGTTTTTGAATGCCTTCATTCGCTACGAGTTGTTGGCTGCATGTTTATGAAATCGAAGAGGTGGACCACATATTAGAAACTATTCTTTCATAAATTTACTTCAAGTGTTTGTCATGGTCTAGTGAAGGTGCTCTAAGTTTAATAATCAGCAGCATAACTTCCAGGTTTTTATGATGGAACCAGAATCTGAATATTGAAGGGAACAAAAGATAAAGAACTAATAAATATTTAACAGAGAATCAGAATTGGAGCTTATTCGATCACACCAGTCTTTTTCGGAATTTTTTTGTGGAAGAATCTATATCCATATCTATAGATCGATAAATTCTCTACAAAATTATTTGTAAGTCACATTGTTTATCAGTCATGAACAATGTGGTTCTCTCTATAATTCAGTAGTCACAAGCTTCATGGGCAGGACATCTTGCATTGGGCTACTGCCTCTCTTAATTATATTAGTAATTTTATTTATAGTCTTCTCTCTGTTTTTCTTACTATTTAAATTAAATTTCAATTTGGAATTTCCCATCGAAAAATGTTTTAAAATTAAATTATTCTCCCATTTAAAATTTTCTATCATGTTGTTATCCATCCTTGTATTAGACATGGAAAAATATATAGTTAAAACTAAAGTTTATGCAATCACATATTGTTTAAGAACCACTGGATTTTGATAATTGAGAGGTTCAATGTCAATTTAAATCTGTTGCTGAACTCTATGGTATCCAAAGATTGTGTTTGTAGATTAAGTTTGTCTTGGAAAAAATTCTATCCTAGAAGCTTTGTAATTTTTGTTCGGGACCAACCAGTCTTATTTAACTAAAAATTTACTTTCTGCAGTACATCTGTGTTGGTACTCAAAAGTATTCAGTCATTAATATGAGGCTCTGTTAGGCTGCCTTTGATATGTTTCTGATAGAATCACAGCTCTGAAATATGTATTATTCAACTAGAAATACTCCTCCACAGAGTGTAGGTCTAATGGAGGTAAACCTAAACAGAGAAAACACACTACCCTATGCATTCGAGAGGCATATGAACTCTCCCCAATTCACTCACCACATTTTCCATACCCTTTCCAATAACCAGGTTCCTGTTATATAGCCCCTCTCTCTCACTAACTGTCAAATGGAAAATACCACAAACACCCACACTCACATGGTTCACATCCCATATGTCAATAATATCCTTATACCCGACAGTTCCCCTGCATATTCTGAATGATCTCATGCTTTGGTTTTAAACCTTGACCGTGTGACACAACTGCATTAGTATTTGGATGATAAGATGATTCCCTAAACTTATGAAGTTAATTGAGTCCCCATCTTATTCGATGTGATGTTCAAGTGTTTTATTTGTGTCACTAAAAGTGTAGTTACCCGTATTTCATGTGTTCAATGCTTAATATGGCGTCATGGAATGAATTTTCTCAAGAAGAAACCCTGTCATCATTATTGGCACACATATCAGAAATTACAAACTTCCTTGCTCCTTCATAACTCGCCGCCTGCTAGCATGCTGCTTGCAGCACATTGAGTTGCAGCAGTTAAATGCAGTGCTCACGCATAAAAAGCTTATTTTCGTTGTAATATGAAAAGAAGAGAACAAAAGACTGACAAATTCCAACAAGCATCCAATTTCCAAATGTATCAAGCATCAAGCACAAACTACAAAATGGCGTTACCAACATTTTGTTTTTTCGTGAATCAAACTTATTTGCTATTGAATTTTTTCTTCCTTGTTTTCTTTTTTCGTTTTTTTTTTTTTGGTTTTGGGTGAATAATTCTCTTTAACATCTTCTGTGGAAATTAAGGTATTTCACGGACAAAAATAAAATTAGGGGAAAAAAAATTAGATAGGGACAAGATAGAATACATTGGAAGTAAACTATGAAAAAGCACCAAAGAAGTAGAAAAGAGAGAGAAAAGGGAGAGAATATAGGGGGTAGGAGAAAGAAGAGGGAGAACAACACAGCAAAGAGGGAAAAAAAAAGAGAAATAGAGACAGGTGGGGAAGGAGAGCAGAAGAATACAGAGAGGGGGAGTCTGGCCATCTAGGAGCACACTTCAGCAGGGAGGGAGGGATTTCGATGAAAAGATTCTCATGTACCTGGCTTGTGATGTGCACAGTGCCTGTATTGTGGGGCACGGTGCACCATCTTGAGTCTGAAGCGACACAACTTTGATGCGTTATATACTTTTAGCATGTATGGTCACTTTGCTATTGAAACAATGGATTTATGGTTAGGGAATGATCGATGTATTGCCAAGAAGGGTACCTTTACTGTAAATGCTTCTATGAGCACCTGACATATTTTCTCAATTTTATATTTTGGTTGGAGTGCCTTGAGTCATGGATTGAACCACATCATTGGTCAGTTGCACAACAGCTGGAAACCCAGTGTCTCACTGAGGGTTGGGGAGCTTCCCCCTATTGATGCCATTTGGGTTAGGCTTTTGTGGTCAATAATGTTTATTGGAGGTTCATATGGTTATTCACCGAAGGACAGATGTTCGTTGCTAGGTAGAAAATGCTGCCGCAGAGGGCAGGTTATTTGTGGATAAATTGGAAGAGACCCATGAAATTGAATAATGATCTAATTAATACTCTTTACTCTCGAAAGTATCCCAAGGGGACAAGGTGTGTGAATGTATTACCCTGCGATCAATATCTTTAAAAAACTCATAAGAAATCTGACGGCCTGAAACCCTTGTAATATATGGTTCTTGTCGTCTTCTTTTTTCCCCCCTTGCAAAACTTGACTTGAACTGGAACATTGCGCCAGGTATAATTAGTTTATGTTGACTTTGATTGTCTTTTGGGCTTGAATATCGCAATCGGCTATCTCGAGACTATATGCCATCCTTGACTGATTGAATTTGTCCATGCTAATCAACTGGCAAAAGGTTTGGCTTGTCGTATATATGTTTGTATGTATGTTTGCAAAATATAACTTTTGCCAATACACACACAAGGACGATTGACACGGTTTATGATTTTTATGGTCACATCAAGCGATAATACTTTTGGACAGTGTTATCATTGTTTGAATCTATCATCTCTTTTTTGTTTTAACAAGTTTAAATATTTCCCAGCAATACCGGGGCAACTTATCTTTAGTATATAATTTTACTATTAATTCCAGGTTTATGCATTGGGAGGAATCCTTATTGCAAGGTGGATTTGGGCAAGATGGAATGAGAGGAGGCCTAAAGGGAGGAACCCCAATGATGAGAATTCCCAAAATAGGCGTTCTTCAGATGAGAATGAGGGTCGACCGTCTGGTAATGAATAGAGATTTTGATTTTCTATATAGCTTGGGTTGTTAGATGTCTGAACTCACTTCGACATCTTCTCATTGGCTGTGTAAATCGCCACTGTTTTATAAAGCTCCTCTTTAGCTTCATAGTATTACAAATCTTTTGCTTGACATGTGAACTTTGACTCTTGCAGTCCTATACTCCTCTTGAACTTTGATGTTGCGTTTATCATTGTATTAAAACCAACAACATTTGTTTCATGAATTGAATTTGAATGTGTATAGGGTTAGCTCTTAATAATTATTCCTACTATTTATTGCCTTGAATAGCGTAGCAAAAATTTATCCCTGCTATGTTTAACTTCATTTGATCGCTTCTTTAAGGCTTTATTTACTAATTAAATTAAGAAAATTAGTTGAAATTAGTTAAATAGTAAAAACTCTTGCAAGTTTTCAAAGTTATTCTTTGGTTAATTCATTAGAGATAGAGGATGGACAAGTCATTTTAAAGAGGTAAAGGCTTTTTGGAAGGTTAATTATAAATGTTTTAAATTTTCTACTTAGCTTGCATTGAGTCCTTAAGTTGTTTATGAACTTTCATGAGTTTTTTTAGCTCAGCGGCTATATAGACCATTCTTTCAATATCACTATAGAAGTACAACTTCATTTGTTTGGGACGTTTGGAACAAGTGTTACCTTTTAACTTTACTTTGTCCACCTCTATGCATAACTTATGAAGGTCCACTGTCATGCTTTCTCAACGGTTGTTTGGTTAGCCATATTTCAACAGATGGAAGGGTAAACGTGGAACCCAAGAAAAAGATGGAATGGAAATAATATTGGAATGGAGAAAATTAGATATGGATAGAATTAGTTAACAATTGGCATGGATTTTGATTAGTTTATGTAGCCCCCCCCCCCCCTCAAATTTTAATCACTCATTAATGTAAATATATTGATTGGTTTTAAGCATTGATATTTGTAACTATAACAACAATGCCTTCCCTATGCAATGATGCACATGGTTGAATGTGAAACTCCCAAGCATTATTACGTTGGAAAAGCTAAAAAGCTCACTGTTTTGTAACGCATCATTTGAAGCCCTTGTCAATAAAATAAAAGCGACTAATTTGTAAGACAGACACAGTGAACAGAGACAGATATGGTGAAATAAAGCAATCTGAGACGTGATATTGTGAAAATTTTGAAACTACAAACCTCAACATGAGAATCGTTCTCAGATTATGTAAGATAGTGATTGAAGGCTCGCCATGGGGCAAAAGCCAGTGATGTAATGAAAAGAATTTCACTTAATGTGCATAAATAGCAATTATGTAAACAAAACAAAGATTTGGAGCAATTATCTCATGCATTTTGGTTAATCAAAGGCTTTAGATACTCATGTAGGGCTTGTTTAGAATAAGGATTAAAGTTTTTAAAAGTAGTTTTTCAATTATGATTAACGGGATATTAGATGAAAGTTTTGTTTTGATTTATACGAACGTGATTATAAGTGTTTATATTAAATAACTCCAAATAAACATTATCCGTTTGAAACAAGAAGGCTGGCAATTTGTACCATATGTAACTAAACTTTTCGAAATTTACTAATGATTTTATATTACTACTCTAAAGTATGTAATAAACTGAAACGTTAGCTATTCTTCGAATCTTCCAAATGTTCCTCCTCAATTATTCTGTCTTGGTAAGGTTCAACGAAAGTATTAATTAAAAAAATTTACATGACAGTTCTTAAAATAAAAGATATCAAAACAGCTATAAGTGAAACCCATGTAGTCTGAACATCACATAAACTATTTGAATAAAACCTGTGTTGTCTAAATAAAAATATGCGACTTCTTACCCAAAAGAATTAAAATAAAAATATGTGACATCCAAATGGAATATTTACATACAATCTAGCATGTTGAAAAATAAAAGTAGGAATACAGGCTGGCCCTACAGGACGATGGGCTTAAAAAGACCAACCTTATGGGATTAAAATTTCAAAAATATATCAATTTGCTAGGCCTGGCCTTCAAGCTGACAGGTTCATGACTGGCCAACAGGCTTTTGACTCATTTTAAAAAATGTTATTTTTCATATTTTTATCAAAAAAATAAAAATAAACTGATGAAATTATTAATATAAGACATAAATGTGAATAAAATTAATTTTTATAAAAATTAAAAATAAACTAATGAAATTATTAATATAATATATAAATATGAATAAAATTAAGTCACAAATATAAAATATCATCATATCTAAATATCCATAAACATCCAAGAAAATTTAAAACATCCATTAACAAGATAATAACATCCAAAAGTTTTATTAATAGTGCAATGTGCAATGGACAAACACTATTATTAATTTTTTAAAACTTCATCATTATTATAATCAATTGTTCTTCTTCATGAATATGCTCTTCTTTCAAAGAAAAAATATCAACTTTTTTTTTTATAGGAATTTCACTTTTAAATTTTGCAATCTAGCTATTATTTTATTTTAGTTTGAGAAGTATTATTGTTGAAACTCATAAATTTCTAATTCCAATTATAGAATCTCAAGTTATGTAAGTATAAAAATTACTCTCTTATCAAATATATATAGTTTAAAAACATCAACACATAATATAAATCAAATTATTATTAAAGTCCAAATTAACCCATTTTTTAAAATTTAATTTTATTGTCTAAAATTAGATCAATCAAACCATTTTGTGAAATTTAATTTCAAAATGATAATAATAACTAAATAGTCTAAATATCATTAACAACATAAAAATAATAATATTAGAATCATACAAAAAAATTTTAAAAAAATTATAAAAGGGCCTAAATGGGTTGGCCCTCGATCCTACAAGACTGACCAGTTTAAGCCATCGACTCTATAGGACTAGTCCTTTTAAGACTATTTTTCATTTAAAGGGAAAAATTCTAAAGCCGACCCTCACAATTTTTGTGCCTCAGCTTGTTTTCCAACTCTATTGAAAGAGGATCCCTTCCCCAATTATCTATTAGATATCATGTTAAATCATGTCTCTTTCTCTCTCTCTCTTTTTGGGTAAAAATTATGTTTTTCTTTTAAAACTGTATACGATTTCTCAAAAACAAAAACAAAAACAAAAATTAGATCTGATCTAATATCACCACCCATAAAACCATGGTATTGAAATCCAACTCAAGGTTGGCTAGTCGACTGATGAATTGATAGATCAGTCTTCTATCCAATTCGATCAAGAGTTTTCAATAAGTTGACAGGATTGAATTATATACATATACACACATATTAATTCCTCACAAACCCTAATCACATCAAGGCAGAAAAAGGTTACGTCTTCCTTTTGGGCAGCAATGACACTAGAGATCCCTTCTCACTTTCCTCAACTTATCACCCTTTTGTTTGAAACATTAGTTCCTTTGGTTTTTTTTGTGTTTTTTTTTTTGGGGGGGGGGGGGAGGACGCGAAATAAGCTACTACATGCTTTGCACAAAATGTCACAGAAACTTGTTAAACTGTGGGGTGGAAGGAGAAAATGAATTGAAATGAATTAAGAAAAAATAAATTTGTACATCATCTTAAAAGTAAATCAATCAAGATATTCAAATATTGCTATGCAAAGAATGTAGTTGATACATGAGTTCTTTTCGGAGTTGGTCTCTCCTTATTTTTCCCGTCGTAGTGAGTGGAAAGGGCTTCCTCCACAGGATAAACATTTTTGGAATCTTAAACCTGAAAGGAAATCAATGGAAAATATGTACCATATATTAAATTAAGTCACATTATTTATAAGTGACTCGTTCCTCAAACTTTATGCAATATACAAAAGGCACATCTAGTTGAACAGGAATCGCTAAAACACTGATGCATACTTAAACGAGCTTCCTCGCTTCTCAGTTTCTCTTAAAATATTATTTCCTCTTATTCTTAATATAAGAACTATATAGATAATTTGTGGATATTAAAAAAATTAGTTGATTTAGTCATTCATATCAAATGTATGCCGGTTTCCTTAAAATACGCTTTCTAGTCATATGTATTGTAACTACCCCAATACCTCTTAATGAAAACTTCTATGTGCAATCAATACGTTTTGGGAAAAAAATTATAAATTTAAAAGACAAAGTGAATTGAAATCTAGTATCTAGATCAAAATGAGCCCCTCATCTAACTCTGATATCTAGGATCAGCGGTAGTCACATTGAGTAGCCTGACATGCCTACATCCAATATTAAATAGCATGAGATACCTGCTTAAATTCTTTTCTATACAATATTGCCGAAGATTCTCTGGTGACAAGTGATGATCATCTGAAACAGACTGCTCTGACCATTGCCAGTCTTTTCTTGGTTGGATACAAGCAACTACCATTTCAGACAAGCGAGCATTAGGTATTCCAACAATTACTACAGCAGCAATCCCAGAATGTTCCAGAAGAATTGCTTCAACCTATTTGAAATAAACAGTATGCTTAAACCTCAATGAAAATTTCGAAGACCACAAATCAAGTAAGATAAAGAATTGATAAAGACAGGGAATCAATTTAATTTAGTGACTTTGGTGGTCCTTATAATTTCATCACAGATAAATTTCTACAAGTGGTGTCATCTTAACTGGTTAATCATGTGCTATCTTGATATTCTAAACATGCATAGCTCATCGACAAAACATAAGATTTAAAGACAGAAATTTTGCTAGTATTAGACCAAGTCTTTATGAAACTATAAGGTACAAAATCATAAATTATAAAAATTATTTGTAAATCGTATAAAACTGTAAAAAAAAAAAAAATAATGACACCATTAATTTTATGGGAAAATCACTATCAGATCTTAAGGAAAAAATATAATAATCTAAAAGTCTTAATCACAAGGGAGCAACCTGGAACTTCTTGTTATTTTTTGCTCTAAAACTTGTTATTCACTAGTCATGGAACTTTTTAGTAATCACATTCCTTCATTGGGACCATATATTAGTTTCCCCTTCCCTTCACGAGAATTCTATATAATAATATCATTCATATGAATATGTTTTATTCTAGTTGTGTGTCCTTTTTGAAATATGAAGCTTTAAGAAATAATCCAAATAGGTTTATTGTCACTGTTTCTACCTCTTCAGGATAGATGTTCTCTCCACCACTCTTGATCCGACCTTTTGTTCGCCCCAGGAGCCACAAATTACCGTTTTGATCAATTGATCCAATGTCACCTGTGTCAAGCCAGACTTCATTTGAGGGATCTAATGAGCTTGTCGAAGTTTGATCCCAATATCGGATCATTACATGTGGTCCTCTGGTTAAAATTCTCCCAACATGGCCAGAGGAATCTGCACATATACTGAGTTCTACATGGGGAGCAGCCTTGCCAACACAAACCCCTTGGGAGTACTTTATTGTCTCAGATCTTCTATTCACAGCCATCTGAGAGGACTGACCAATCTTTTCTTGAGTTGCGTCATAGAGGGTCAGGAATGTCAGTGAAGAGCAAGCCTCAGTCATCCCTTACATATGTGAATCAGATTACAGATAGAAATTAAAGGCCAGTAAGTAAGAACTTCTATTTGTTGGACAAAGAAGACGTAACTAACAAGATTTGAATAGAGTAATATATTCATGTCTTTTTGGTATATCTTTATTCAGTAAATATCCGGGGGGAGGGGTGTTGAGACTATAGGGTGTCTTTGTCAAAGAAAACTCAGAGGAATTCACTAAAGCCTAAAATAAAATCTAGGGAAAAGTAGCACCCAAAACCTTAATGTTATTTCCTAAGTGCATCCAACACCCTAGTGTCATTTTCTCGAAGAATCTAGCACCCCCTAAGGTTATTTTCCAATCATATCCAATACCTTAATCTTATATATGGTTTAATGTGTTGGATGCACTATAAAATTAAAGTGCTAAAAGCACCAAATACTCGATATAGGCAAAAGTCTAACGATGAATAAACCTCGGGCTATTTATAGATCCATAATCCTAGTTCATCTAAACTACTATAATCGTAAAAGACAAGATGAACTTTGTCAAATTTAAAGTATTCTAAATCCTAGATGAAATTAATGTTTGTCTTCAGACCATCAATATGCTAGCACAAGTGATGCTGTCACTTTTCTGAATCATTAAATTTAAATTCTGTCACTACCTTTGCTTCTAATTAAAATTGTAGTTCTTAAGGCTCTGTTTGGTTGGAGGGTTGTTGAGGGAAGGGGAGGAGAGGGGAGGGGAGGGGAGGGGATAAGTGTGTTTGATTGGGAAAAATAGAGGGGAGGGGAGGGAAGAAATTTGTCTTTTAGTGCTCCCCTCCCCTCCCCATGCTCCCCTCCAAATTTGGGGTTTTTTAGAGGGGAGAGAAATATTATGTCTAATATTAATCAAACTACCCATACTAATTTTTTAATATTCCAAGTTTGTCCATCTTATTAAAAATCTTTTTTCACTTCTTTCTCTTTTTTAGCCACTAATAATATTTGATAATAATAATATAATTATATAATTATACAATATATACATATCATATGTATTAATATATACATATCATAACATGTGTGTATTATAATTATATATTATATCGTGTTTGTATTAAAAAAATAAATTAGTCTAAATATAGAGATAAGGGTATATTTGTCAATTTATAATTACCTCCCCTCCCCTCCCCTCCCCTTATGAACCAAACAAGAAATCTCCCCTCCCTTCCCCTCCCCTCCAACCAAACAAAACCATGACCTCCCTTCCCCTCCCTTCCCTTCCCTTTAATTAACCTCCCCTCCCCTCCCTTCCATTGAACCAAACAAAGCCTAAGATTTAAGAGGTCTCAAACGAAATCTTCCTGAGAAGGCTATTCAGACAAATTATGGTAAAAAAAAAGCTAAAAAAAAGCTGAAAAAAAAGCGGAAAAAAAAAAGCGCCATGCCAGAGATACCTACCATAAGCTGATATAAGCTTAGCCTTAGGGAAGAATATACTGGAGTACATGATTAGTTCATTTGAGAGGCTCCCACCTCCGTTAAGTATTTTCTTGATGGATTCCCCACATTTCCAGATCTCCTTGCCCCTGACAGAAGGCCAAAAAAATAAAAAAGCCAATGAAATTATATTTATTAAACAAAGGATATGCAGAATTATTGTTCTTGGGTGAAACCCAAGCTGCAAATAGCAAGACCTTCAAGCAGAGAAGGCGTGACAATTTAAATTCAATATTTTGGCTACTAAAAGATGAAACTTGATCCTTTTTCAAATATCTTTAAAAAAAAAAAAACATATTACTTCAATTAATGTCAAAAAGTCCCATTATCTTGACGCGGTACATTAAGGAAGGGAGAAATCAAAAAGGGCGATTAAAACATGAAGTATTATGCGATAATCACTTGACTTGTAGGCATTAGTTTTAACTTATATCTATAGTTTTCAATCATAAAAGTTTTTTCTTTTACTTTTTTCCATTTTCTTTGTCGGGTTTAAAATTTTACATTTTAATGTTTAGGTAATAAAACTGCAACTACCCTTTAGTCTAGGTGGTTAAATGTATTTACCCTATCATTTAATTCAGCTTTTTTATTGCAGAATATAAATGACAGAAGAGTGAATGGAGCAACATTTTATACTAAAATAAAAGCCGTTAGTTTTTCAAAACCAGTTACCAGTGATACCCGGAACAAGTATGTCAATCAGAATATACCTAATTAACGACACCATATCAGCCATTATTGCGGGGACTGTGATTAGAGATGTGACAGTATATTGCTCTATGGCATCAACAGCCGATTGAGCGTCAAACTTCGGCATCAAGACATGGCAACCGCCAACCATTAACATAGCCATTGCCGATGACAATCCACCAATATGGCACAATGGAGCACTATGCAAATAGATCTGTTACAAAGAAAAATTCAAAAACAAGTAAAACTTAACTTCTCTTTAACTCTTTCAGTTTGAATTATCAAGTAAGCAGGTGTTTGGTACAATGTCATCTTGATCTCATATACTCCCTCCAGCCCTTATTATGAGCTTCAAATAACTAATTTACATATAATGAAAAATCAGTTAAAATTAGTTAAATGCAATAAATAGGTAATAAATACCCCCTCTTTCCATCGAAAAGAATCATCAGAATCTTACATCTAGTTTAATAAAATACCAACTGTATGTATCATTTCTCAAATCAAACACCTCAATCTACATTACTTAAATCAGAACATCAACTACTTTCAGTTCAAATAGTAGTCAGATTTTAGAAACTAAAACAAGAAAGGCATACATCATCCTCACTGTACCCAACAATGGCGATCTTAGCTAGAGATTGTATGAACAGAGCTGCATGGCTTAGGGTGACTCCCTTGGGTTTTCCCGTGGTTCCTTGAGTTGACAACAACATAAGATAAATTTTATGAGATTATGAATTCTCAAAGCATTAGATATGTGCTGTAATAGGTGAAGTAATATCATTAGTCGATAAAGAATTCAAGCCCCAGATTATCTGCATTCAGATATCAAACAGCATTTTTGGAACTTTGCATTGGACATTTTGTTTCTTAGAACAAAAATACCATAACTATGATTTATAAGGGCATCTAATAAACTTTTTCTAAAGAAAATAACTTGAAATTAAACCTCAACATCACATCTTTTTTTTCTTTTAAAGTATTCCATCCCTCATACTTTCAGTGGATGGATATGTAAAACTTGATAAAATCCATTTAATAAAACAATCGACGTAAACTGATCATTGCATAAATTGGTCTCACCAATCACCTAATACCTTCATAAAAAATCATTTAAATCAATATTTTCAACCTAGCAAGCCAATGCTTTTTACTTATGACTAATAATGCTGTGTTACCAAATGATTGCCTGCCAGGAACTGCACAAACTGAGAACAACTTATTTCCTAACGTCATATGGATTCAATTGGTAAAGGTTCTCAGTAACCACAAATCCTGCAATCTTGGCAGCAGAATGATTGATCCATTATCTAAATAAGTGGTCTCACCACCACTTCTCTGGTGATAGTGCTTGTTTACAAACACACAAATCAATGTTGGCAAAAAAATTAGAAAGTACACAAACCACAAGCATAAAATAGGGTATTCTAGAAAAGCAACAATAAGACTTGAACCTGAGGTGAAGCATATTACGACAGCGCCTTCAGGAGCCCAGGAGTAACAAGACGGTGGAAGCTTTGTGAGATGCTTCTTTAGTAATTCTGGAATTAGGACTGCCAAATAGTAAAACAATTATTATGACAGCTTATTTAATCCAAGAAAAAAGAAAATGCTTCATATAGCATATTTTTACATTGGTCCCAAAATTTACCATTCCACTTCTTGACAAAATCTGAGGAAGGGGAGCCTATAAAGACATGCCACCTAAGAGATGAGGTATCCTCTTTTTGGAGGTTTATGAACCAGGTGTAACAGCTCTCATCAGTAACCAACATCACTGGTCTCACGGAGTTAATTGCCAATGTTGTCTCTTTAATGCTCTGCAGGTGAAGAAAATTAATTGGTAAAATAGGTGTAATGCTTAACACTAGCATTTGTACGTAACATACTTTATGGAAAAGGAAATTGAGCGTGCAAAGAAGATAAAGTAAATCGATGCACCAAATGGTTTCAAAGAGAAGGTAAATGACTTTCCAAATATAACACTAAGTTCCCTGTCCTGTATTACAGTCACATTCCTATGTGTGACAATATGCCATTGGAGTTATATGTGAGTCATGCTTCTTCCGCCCCTCCATCAACTCCGAAGAAGGAAAACTTATGAATAGATAGATGAAAGTTCATATTTAACTTAGTTTGGAGTCCTCTAAAAAATAACAGAGGAAGACCAAAAAGAGCGCTCAATGAGGTCATTGAACAAGACATTTTGGTTAACAATCTATTTAAGAATTTGTTCATATTTAACAATAAGGCGTGTTGTATCACTTGATGCTTATAAGAATGAAAGTTGAAATAAAATCACTTCCAAATATAGAGTTGAAGTGCCATCTTGGCAGCAGCAAGGCTTCATATTCAAATTAAGAAGAAATAAAAACAGGTCAATGATAATTCATCACTCATCTAAAAGGATCGATCATGTCAACAGAAAATCTACTTACCCATCGATAGTTCAGAAGAGAAGCTATCCCTCCAACAAATGCAATGGCTAATAACCACTCCAGATACAAATCACTGAGAGGGGAAAGAAAAGAAATCAATAGACGTTTCATAGGATATGATCTGTTCAAATGGCAAATCATTGACCAGTTTCTTCTGCTGGCAAGGGAGAAAAGAAAAATCATGTACAGCCAAGAAAACTTAAGCGAGAAGGATAAAATCTTGAAATCTAAAACTAGATGTAAAAGAGTAATTTTTCAGTGCCCTTCTTATTTTATTCAATTCATCATTATCTTGGAGCGAGACAGTGCGACTTAAAACTTCAAATGCCTTGTTATACATCACACACTGCTTAAGTCAAATTACTATCATACCCTGCTTAAGTCAAATCACTATCTTACAACAATAGCTTTGATCTATAATGACATCACAGACCAGCACGCAAATATAATGTTTCCATTAGAGTCATTACTACTCGGTAGACACCCCAAAGTATATGAATTACCCTATAGTAAAAGGCAAGTCAAAAGCTCAACGTCAAGCAGAGAAGCTTTTAAAGTGAATAATTTTCATGTTTGTCAATAACCACAGTTTTCAACGGGTTCTAGTACTTAATGCATAGCCAAATGCACCCGGTCAGAAATCTCAAAATAAATAACTTTTTTTTGGACTGAAGATAAATAATATTGATATAAAAAGTTTTAGCTACATATTAAAAAAAAAAAATTCTTTTATTAGATTTCAGTGGAAGACAACTTGAATTTTATACAATAAAAAAATGTGCATGATAAAGCATTTCAAAATAAGAAAGAATAATTTACTAAATTAAATCGTAATGAACTATGAGCTGAACCAGATAATTTGAGGAAAAAGCATTTTATTTATCTTATTAATTTTCTCACTGTTTTCCGACAAAATCTACACTGTTGCCAGCTTTATGAGATGCTGGGACAGATTCAGGGCATTTTTATTTAATACACAGAATGGCAAACAAAAGGATGCTAATGTAATAAGAAATAATCATAATGTTTTGATATTATATATATATGCACAACACGAATCATAAAAAATGATAATTACATAAAAGTACACTTCGTTCCACCCTATGCGTGGAGTAGAGAGGAAAAATATTTTTTGATCCTATTTACAGGGTACTGAAATTTTTTTTGTATATATGTACAATTTTATCTTTCATTGGAGGGAGGCAAGGTAATAGGGATTTGGAGGTGAGGATGGGAGAGCAAATTATTCCTCAAGTATCAAAGTTTAAATACCTAGGATCCATTATACAGGAGGATGGGGAAATTGATGGAGACATTTCTCATAGAATACAAGCTGGCTGGTTAAAGTGGAGGAAAGCCACCGGAGTTATTTGCGATAAGAAGGTACCTGAGAAACTTAAAGGAAAATTTTATCGGACTGCTATAAGACCAGCTATGATGTATGGTAGTGAATGTTGGGCAATAAAGGGAAAACAAGAGCACAAAGTCGGAGTAGCAGAAATGAGGATGTTGAGATGGATGTGTGGTCATACAAGAAAAGATAGGATTCGAAATGAAAAGATCAGAACAAGAGTCGGTGTGGCACCTATCCAAGAGAAAATGGTTGAAAATCGCTTAAGATGGTTTGGACATGTGCAGAGAAGGCCTTTGGAGGCCCCGGTGAGGAGGGTGGATTAAACAAGATGGAATCCCATAAAAAGAGGCAGGGGAAGACCGAGAAGAACGCTGAATGAGGTCATTGAACAAGACCTCCTAATCAACAACATATCTAAGGATTGGGTTGTTGACAGAGCACGATGGCGTCGTGTGATTCATGTAGCCGACCCCACCTAGTGGGATAAGGCTTGTTGTTTGTTTGTTTGTTTGTTTGTACAATTTTATCTTTCATGAAGTTCAAGGTTTTTCTTAATACGTGTGAAATATATTAGAAGTAACTTAAAAATAGGATTAGAGGAGTACATCATTTTGAGTGAAAAGCAGAGAGGGTGCACGCTTCTTTATTTTTAAAAAAATATATCTAGTGCCTTAAAATATTTTTTTCAGTGTCATTCACTATTCTAAATTAATATTTAGTGCATTTGGCATCATAAAATATTTTTCTAGAAGCACCTATTCTCTAACACCCTTACACCCGGGCATTCTGAAATATTTTTTAATAGCATCCAATATTCTAAAATATTTTTTTATCCATAGTTAAAATATTTTTCATTAACCCCCTCTATCTAGCATCAAACACACTAGAGTATTTTTTCAGTAGTACCCAGTATATTGAACTAAATTTTAATATATCTGTCATCCTAAAATATTGAACCCAAAATTTATTTAAAATATTAAGTGCTAGGAACAAATATTTTAGGATCCTAAAAATTAGTTTAGGATATCTTGATATAACCGAGCATATCGTTGGCCAAAAAAGGGATAACCTCACATATCGCAGAGAATCAGTACTTTTGCATCATTGGTTTATTGACGGGGGTAGTTTTATTTGGGGGCCCAACCGACCCAAGACCAATATCCCTCGTAAATATTTTTAAAAAATATTTTCATGCAAATGTTTTCCTGTAAATTAACACGTAAAATCACATTTTTGTAAAATCATGTTTTGTTTTTCCCAAAAAGGCCCAAGACCAAAATCAAGCCGCAAAAGCTTGTATTGAAGCAGATGTCTGGAGTTCTGAACTTCTTGATCAAACTTCATTTCAGAACCCAGAAAACGCATTAAATTATCAAAAATTCTCAAGAATGTAAATTAAATAAACGCCCCAGAAGCTAGAGTACGAGTTCGAATCGAAAAACCACTCGCCCCACAAAAAACAAAAAGTGTCGGAGCTGAAGATTGATTGGAAGGGTACCTGTTGTAAGCAGAGATGGCGACAACGTCGCCTGCTTTAATTCCCAATTCTTGAAGACCGTAGGCCAACGCTACTACTTCATGCACGAACTGTTCTCCAGTTTTGTGACGGTCATTGGCAATTGTGACCGGAAGATTTCGTCGGGAAGTTAACAATCGACTCAAACATTGGCAAATGTGAGCATCGGAGTACTTAGCCATTCGGTCCCAGATTCCTCGACGAAGAAGCCCTTTGCAAGTGAATTGTTTTGAGAGCGAAACAGGGAGTCTACCGGGCGGGGTTCAACTAGTGGAGACTCTTGGAACGCTGCTGTAAGAAGTCCCCAAGTAAGCATTCTGTGGGGGACCGTCCAGCATATCTGGCTGGGATAAGAGGGTGATCTCGTTCGCAATCGCATGGATCAGGTAGGAAAGGTTTCCACAATACTCACTGAAAATATGAAAAATATTTTTTTTTTTTTTAATGAAAAACTGGATACAACTAGAAGTCTAGAACAAGTCAAAACAAGACAAAACTGGGAACTTAAACATGAAAAATACTCAAATGAATATTGAAAACTTTTAAGGAGATTTTTCAAACGCAAAAAAAGGTTCAATTTCTAAAATTCCAAAAGTGATCTAAATTTGCAAAATTTCAAATAAACTATAATGAATAAATTGAAATTTTAAAATGTTGGTAAATTTATAATGTTATCTTTTTCTTATTTTAAAAAAAAAAAACCGCAAATTAGTCTTACCATCAGCCTACTGGTGCTGAAGCTGGATGGGCTATTGGTGCTGAAGCTTTGTTGACCGCCGATGATCAGTCATCAAAGTTCCGTTGGCAGGCAACTTTTTGTGGCAATTTTTTTTAACATTCGTAACGTGTTTAATAATTTTTTAAACAATTCACAACTCCATTAAACTTATTAACCGCTTTATATAATAGGTTTTTAAACTTTGAAAAATTAAGGAAATGGGAACATGTTAAACTCTTATATACTTAATATGTACTCCCTCCGTTCCTTATTATAAGAGACACTTGATGCTTATGTCATGTTCCTATATATAAGAGACACTTACAAGTTGTCTCTACTTTTTTGTGTTGATTTACTATTTTACCCATATTTATTATCTCCAACTCACACTCTCTCTCCCTTTCACTTCTCTTTCTTTTAATAATTTAATTGTTCTCTCTCATGCTCTCTCTCTTTATTAATGAGGGCATTTTTGGAAAAAAAATTATATTTTTTATACATTAATTGTTCTTAACTAACTTTAACTGTTTTTTTGATCAACGTACTTCGGTTATTTGTCTCTTATAATAAGGAACGGAGGGAGTATTATTTAATCAAACTAAAATGTCTTAGATTAATAATATTAATTGAAAAACATATTATATAAAGTAGTTAGTAACGTTAATAGAGTTGTGAATATCATTATAAAAGTTGTTAATCACATTATAAATGTCAAAAAAAATCCCAATTTAAAAACCAGAATAACACGTGATAAATGACATTAATAAAGTTACGAATACTTTTATAAGAATTATTAATCACGTTACAAAGATTAAAAAAAATTCAAAATACAAAAGTTTCCAACTGCCAGAGCTAGGGCTGAGCATGTAACCCGAAACCCGGCCACCCGCCCGCAACCCGGCGAAATTGGGCCCGTTTGGGCCCGCCCAAAAAAGAAAATAAACGGGCGGGCTTAAATGGGCGGGTTTACAAATTAAATGGGCGGGCTACGGGCACAGGCACGGGCTGCCCGTACCCGCCCATTTATTTTTTTTTTTAAATTGAAGAAAATAACACATTGATAACCCCAAGCCCAGTTCTGCAGTCCAATAATTGAAAGCCCAGTCCGAGTGAGTGTCCGTGTAGGCGTGTACCGTGTCCATCTCTGGCTCTCTACGTCGTCTCCCCTCCCGTTCCCGTCTCCGAAACCGAAAGAAAGACTGAATGTCTGTGCCTCTGTGGTCTGAAATTGTGAAATCTGAATGTCTGGTCTGAACTCTGAACCGCTTCACGCCTTGTCGCCTTCGCTCTCTCAGACTCTGATCTCTCACTCTCTCCTCTCTAATCTCGTCTTCGTCGGTGTCCCGTCTCACGGCTTCCGCACTCCCGGTCCCGGACTCCCGCTGAGCTGAGTCTGAGTGAATCACTGAATCCTCAATCCTGATCGGCTGATCCCCTCGAGTCGACCTCGAATCCTCGCCTCCTCGCCTCAGCTCGGTCTCTGCTTCAGTCGGTCACCACTCACCGTCACTCGGTCTCTGTCTCCCCTGATCCGGTGATCCCCTCGAGTCCTCACCAGTCGCCTCGTCCTCGCCTCGGTCAGACCGTCACTCACTCGGTCGGTGTCTGTCTCCAACTCCAGGCTCCCAGCTGGCCAGCTCGATCTCCCTGAGTAGTCTCTATCTCTCACGAAGGATCGCAGTCACGGTGTCACCGATCTATAGGTATACTCACAAAGCTGGCAGGTTTCAACTTCCTCTTCCTATATCGAGTTTTCTACTTTTCATGTTGGGTTTTGCATTGTTGTTTCAGCCTGGTTCACGCCCGTAAGCTGTTTGATGAAAATACACAACTAAAAAATGTCGAAACTTTACATAGCATTATAGCAAGTCATCGTGCTTTATTGGATTTTGTATATTATATGTAAACGTAGATATTCATCTGGCCTCATCTGCACAATTCCCTGACCTGGGTATTACCATATTCACTATACTGACATGCATGCGGACTACTCTGGCAAAGGATTATGGTGGTGATGATGATGATGAGTGATTGATGATGATTTGATGATGATTAATCCTTTACAATTTTATATTTGTGATTGTCCTCTTTTGAAGCTTGAACCCTTGAACATTAGAAATTTATGATGGTTTCTGATTGTATGGACTATGGAGTTTAGATTTTGATTAATGGTATTATAATTTTCATCTATTTTGATTTTTGAATGCGAATTGCATGCGAACAGCCCCTGAGCAGCACCTGATTGTTAAACGGGTTCCCCATAACCCGTTTAAGCCCGCCCACTTAACCCAGCCCGTTTAGGGACGGGCTTAAACGGGTTATGTACGGGTACGGGCCACCCCGTACCCGTTATTGCATAAACGGGCGGGCTGCGGGTTTGGGGCCGGGCTGCCCAACCCGCCCGTTGCTCTGGCCTAGCCAGAGCTATAGTGCTAGTTGCTAGCTGACGACCCATCGTAGCTCTGGCATTGGCCTCAAGCGTCGAAACTCTAACAGTTGGCGAGCCAATGAGTCTGGCCTAAGGTTTTTTAATGCCATTATAAATTCACTGGCCTTTCAAAGTTTCAATTTAGTCATTATAATTTAATTAAAATTTTGCAAATTCAAGTCACTTGCTAGGATTTTGAAAATTCAACTATTATATTTTTAGAATTTTTACCCAAAAAAATTATTTCTAGTTTTTAAAGGTAAGATAAATTTAATCACATGTATTTTAACCTCCACACTTGAGTTAAATAAAATCTTAACATTATTATATTTACAATCTATATTTGCTCATGTGTAGGACGATTTAGATATTGGGAATTTTTATATAAACTTTTTTAGAGGTGATGAGCAAAATTATATCATATAATAATATTTTATATTACTTTCGATCCTTAATATAAGATTAGTTGACTAAGTTCAGCAGATTAAGAAAGTTAGTTAAATTAGTTTTTTGTAGTAAATAGATTTTATCTTCCATAAAATACACTTATGAATAATATGTACTCCTCTGGTACTAAATATAAGACTCCTTTTATAGTGTAATTTATACTACAAAAAGAGTCTTATATTTAGGACCAGAAGAGTATTTGAATTACATATTGATAGTAACCCATTAACATATGAAACTGGATAACTTGAGGACAAAATAGATAAATATTAAAGACAAAATAAATTTGAGTTTTATATTTAAGACTAAATTAAATATTAAACTAACTATTATATTAAGAATAGAAAGTAGTAGTATATTTACAATTTATATTTTGTACAAAACGCGGGAGTCTCAATCATTACTTAACAAACATCTAGTCTATGTTAAGTTGAAAATTCTTCCATCATTTTTAATAAGTTGAGGGACAAAATTACTTGATAATATAGGGTCTATTTGTTTTTTTCTTTAATTCTCTTTATAAATTTTTTTTTAAAACAAGTTTTGGAAAAAAAAAAATCTGTCTGGATAATTATTTTAAAAAATTATATTTAAAAATAAACATACTGAGATCGAAGAGTGAATCCCCTCGATGGAGAAATAGCTATTGGGTAGAAAAAAAAATGTTCCCAATTTTTTCAAACAAAACAATAAAAAATACAAAAAAAATACAAAAAATTATTTGGGTTTTTTAGTTTTTGTATTTGGGTTTTTTAGTTTTTAAAAACACATTTCTGTTCTTTTTTTGTTTTTAAAAATTCTTTACTAAAAAAACAAATTGTCACACAAGGTTTTTTGTTTTTTGATTTTAAAAAAAAAACTCTTTTCAAAATAAGAAACCAAATAAGGCTATAGTTTAAGTATCCAACTCTTCACAAAATATTTTTTGACTACTCTTTAAAACTTATATAAACTAAATTTATCTGTTCCAAAACAAAGATATGTGAATGATCAATAAATAAATTGTAATTTTATTTGACTTGATGGGTTGTGTAGATGTCAATATAAATATAATTTTAAAATTAATTTTGTAGTTAAATTAACTATTGTGTGTGTAATACAAATTGAAAGAAATGCGTATGTTTATATGTAGATAAAAAAAATTAGGTGAGTTGAATTCAAAGGTTTACTAGGACTAGGGCACATGCCTCCAAATTCAGAGAGCATTTACAGAAGTACCCACAAATCGTCTATCAATAAGGTTCTCACATTGATAGTGAAATTCAAACTTATAACTTTATCAATTATGAGTCAACTTAACTAGATCAACTTTTATTAATAAAGGGTAATATAAACCCACGATCATGATATAAACTAACTTTTATTTCAGGAAAAATGACTAGAAAATGACTATTGAAATTTAAAAAGACAAAAAGAGCATCCAAATAACTGAAATGACTAAATGGGCCTAAGGTGTGAATATGGGATTATCAAAATTTGGTATAAAGACTAAAACGCCCCTAACGACTTGAGCTAAATAGAGGACACATAAAGCTCCAGAAGAGATATTGAAAGCAGGAAAGTTGGGAAGAGGAAGCCTGGAGCAACACTTGAAATTTGGAAAGAGAAAAAAAAGTAAGCAATTTTTCTGTTCAAATGCTAGTATAGTACTCCTCCAACTATCACCATTTTGCAAACCTTACTTATTAGGTTGGATTTTGCTTGTGGGCAAGTTGGTTTGTAGTATGAGTGGGGTGAACGTGCGGCATTATGTAAGTGAGCCGAGGTTGATGGTGGGGTTTGGGTTCTTAACTGGCTTGGCTGTTGCATGCTCAAATGGGGATGGGCTTGTGAGTGAAGAGGGTTTAGATGAAGAATTTGATGGGGATGAGAGATTGATGTATTGGAAATGGAAAAATAGTGGCAAGTGACTTACATGGCCATGAAGTTTGAGGTGGTTAGTGTTGTTAAATTCATTAGTCAAATTGTTAAATCCTATATTTAATTTGTCATGGAGGAAGTGGGTGTGTGCGTTTTTTGGGTGTTTCAGAAGGTAAATGAAATTGATTATTGGGGAACTAAAATATTGAATTATGCTTCTTTGCTCTAGGTTAGCAAGCTTTGATGACGTTTAATATTAGGTCAACATCTTCAAAGCGACTTACTTGTTATTTTCATGTGGGTGGAAACTTTGCAAAAAATGATGATAGTGAAGTTAAGTACAATAGTGGAACACCAAGGTAAGAATGATAAAGGAGGGTATAAGGCTTGAAGATTTGAGGGTAATGATAGAAGTATAGCCTGGTGTAGATAGTAATAGTTGTGACATTAAATACACATTAGGCTTTGATGATAGGATATTAATAGATCTCATTAATGATGATGAAGCTGATAACCTATTTCAGTATAATGACAGTAATGCACAAGTTTACAAAGCAGCTAAAGGTAATGAGAATGTGGAGGAAGAAGTGGCTGATCCAGACAAACCAGTCACAAGTTTTTTGTTATAGAAGTTGTTAATTGTTACAACGTTATTGTTAATCTATTAACAAATGTTGTAATTATACATTCAGCATCTCAAAATTCTTTGGACTATCACAGCAAAATGATGAGCCTATGTTTGAGCATATGTAGTATAGAGTATACCAACACCTTTACCAGGGATAAATTCCTTGAAATGGAAGAAAGTGTTGTTAAGACTAAGGCAGACTTTTACACATGAAGATGATTTCAAGAAGAGACTACACAAGTTTAGTATTGCAAACAAATTTGAGTATAAATATGTGAAAAATTATAATACCCATATGTATGTCAAATGCAAGGTTAAAGTTTGTCCATAGAGGATCAGTGCGAGAGTAGCTAGAAAGAGCACTCCATTTTTACGTGTGACAACATTTAAAAATAAGCATGTTCATAATGCCTAAGAAAATCTTCATGTGACACATGGGGGAATCAACTAGCTTGACATCATCAATTATAATTAAAGATATTAGGGATCACATAGACATACATCCAAATGATATAAGAAAGAGGTTGGAAAGAGATTATCGTGTGAAGTTGACATACAAGTAGGCATATAAGGCTAAAGAAAGAGTGTTGGAGAACATACATGGCAGAGCTGATCAAACTTATATGCTTATTCCATGGATATGTGACGAGTTGAAGGAAATAGATGACAAAACAGTGACAAAATGGGTGGCTACAATGAACAACACATTTGAGCGTGTATTCATAGCCTATGGGTGTTGTATAGAGGGCTTTATTGCTAGTACTAGACATATATTATATATTGATGAAAGTCATTTAAGTGGATTATATAAGGGGACACTACTTTCAGCCTCTACTTATGATGCGGACAATGAATTAGTGCCTTTTACGATTGCGATTATGATTGTGAAGAGAGAGACACTTGAGGATTAGACATGGTTCTTATATATGATTAAGGAGATAGTTGGTTCAATGTAATTAACAATTATTTTAGACCGACACAATGTAATTATCAGTTCTGTCCAAGCAATATTAGGAGGTGAGCAACATGCGTACTATTATAGACATGTTAAGGAGAATTTCAGTACACAAATGGCTAAGTTAAATATAGGAAAAAGTAAGACGAGTGGCAACACAAGGGATGATGGACTGCAATTCCTAGATGCTATTATATATGTAAAGCTTGACACTGAGTTTGATAAAACAATGGATAACATGAGAAATTTCTATTCCCAATTATTTTAATAGCTGTCAATCATGGTGATATTCACAAGTAGGCCTTAAGCAAGTTTCCTTTTAAACAATAGGACAACATAACAACAAACCTTATGGAGTCATTCAATGCGTGGATGTTGAAGGAAAGACGATATAATATTGCCCAACTTATATATGAGCATCATGAAAAAGTGGCTAAGAAGATGTATGCAGCAAGTATAGCAATGAGTAAAATTCTGTGGAATATGTGAATTACGCAGCATCTCAGAATTCTTAGGACTGTAACAAGTTTTTAGTTATGGAAGTTGTTAATTGTTATAGTGTTGTTGTCAATCTATTAACAAATGTTGTAATTATACATGCAGCATCTTAAAATTCTTAGGACTGTCACAACAAAATGATGAGCCTATGTTTGAGGAAAATACTGTAGAATGTGTGAATTACGTAGTGTTTGAAAATGTTTTTAGCCTACCATATGCAGTATAGAGTGCACCAACACCTTTACCATGGATGAATTCCTTGAAATAGAAGAAAGTGTTGTTAGGACTGAGGCAGACTTTTGCACATACGGAGTTATTCAATACGTGGATATTAAAATAGAGACGATATGATATTGCCCAACTTATCCATGAGTACCGTGAAAAAATGGCCAAGAAGATGCATGCAGCAAGTATGGTAATGAATGAATGGAAGAATGGTATAGACCCAAACACAAATGCAATATTGATGTGGCGAGATTTGCACGCATGTTAAGTGTACCTTACGGAAAGGAGAGGATGTGTGTCCATACAGCAAAAGGAGTCATACATGTTGATCTTGGAAAAGGTGAATGCAGCTGTACAGTTTGGCGAATGTCAAGCATCCCATGTTCACATGCATGTGCAACTATCAAGATTTTGAATTGTAATGTCTATGACTTTGTTCAGAAATGCTATAAGATTATGTCCCAGTAAAAGATTTATGGTAGGACTATGATTTCAATGGTGACAATCGACATACCAAATCGTAATAACTATCGGCTGCAAAATATAGCAAGTTCAAGTGTTTTTAGCACCACCTTTGACTAGTTGACCACTTGGAAGGCCTGGGACAAACAGGCAAGGGCTGCAATTTCAAAACAAGAAGGTGTATCATTGTAGTGTGTGCCAGCAAGTTGGCCACATATAAAGAACATACAAGAATCCAAACCCAAGTTAAAGCTTGATGTTAATAACTCAGGTAATTTTTTAGTGTGAATGGAATGACTTTTGAACCCTTCTTAATTTTTTTAGGAGAAGGGTTGATAAGTAGGCTATTTTTTTTTTTGTAAAGGATGTTAACAAGGTATAATATGTTTTGTGATCTGAATGACAAAGAAACATTAGGTGCTAGTTTAATCTTAATGTTAAATTGTCATTTAAATATAAATTATGTAACTTCTGTCATAAGCCTACTGGTTTTTGGTAAATGTTGTCACTTCAGTGATCAATTCTATTACACATGTAGTAAAGTCTAGGGGTGAGCAAAATCAAACCAAAACCGAAAACCAAACCGAACCGAACACAATTCGGTTTTTTCGGTTCGGTTTTTTTGGTTTTTCAGTTCTTATCGGTTTTTATTTTCAGTTATTTTCGGTGTTCGGTTTTTGGTTCGGTGTGCATAAAAAATTTCAGTTTAAACCGAATAACCGAAATAATTCAAAACGACATCGTATTTGCATAAGATGTTGCTCCTCAATCCTTATATTGTGTTGTGCGTGGCTATGTGCAATGAAAAGGGATAGGCTTGTCTTCTTTTGCTACTGGTCTTGGGCCCTCTTTGTAAACCCCCAAAAAAAAAATAATGATAGCTTCATGAAAAAAAATTGACCGACATTTTTGGACCAAATGGATGGACATGGACCGTGGACAGATGGATCATGAATGGATTCATAAAATTGAAATAAGAATGTTTTTTAAAATAATTCTTTTTGACTTGGTTTTTTTAAAATAATTGAAAGTTGACAAAATCGAAAATCCCCAATTCATTCGATGATTCAACCAGATCAAGAAAATTAGCCCTAACCCTTCTCTAACCTCTCCGTCGTTCTCAAGTCTCCATCCTTGGTCCCTTGCATCCTCACACCTTCTCCCTCCGTTCAATCGACTAGACCCTCATCTCCTCACCTCTTGTTCACATTGTGCTCTAGTCTCGTCGCCGTTCAGTCCTGTCTTCTATTCACTCAAGGTTGAGCTTCTTCAGTTCCTGTTCAGTCCTGTTGTCCAGTGTTCATTCAAGGTTGAGCATCTCCACTCGATCTACTACTCCATTCTGGTAAGTAAACTTGTATATTACTAACAGATTACAGACTTTATTGTTGTTCTTTATGATTATATAGCTGTGATTTTATCAACACTTCAATGCTCTGTTTCTTCATCGCTTTTATGCGTTCAACATTCTTTTCTATCTCTCTTTTATTAATCATTCTCTATTTCCTTTTTCTTCATTCTAAAGATGATTTCTATAATCAATATTAATATAAACGTACACACAACATTACCTTCTTTCGGTATACATTCTTATCCATTTTATATATTGTGAAGGTGAAACTATGGCTGACCAAACAACGGGAGGAGGTGAAAAAAATCAACCTTCAGCTCCTGAGAATAAGGCTTCAACAACCGGGGTTGGAAAAAGAAAAGCCATGAAACTAAGATCAAAAGTTTGGGAACACTTCACCAGCTTTGTGAATGATGCGAGTGAAATTAGAGGTAAGTGCAATTATTGTGAAAGTGACATTAAATGTGATCCAAAACTGAATGGAACCACCGCACTTAATAACCACATTAACATCTGCAAATTAAGGCCCCCTCCTGATCAACTTGCACAATCTCATATAAATTTTAATGTAGAGGATGATAAAATGGGTCTTCTTAGTTGGAAATTTGATCAAGAAGCTATTAGAAAAGCCTTGGCATGTATGATAATCACTGATGAATTGCCCTTCAAGTTTGTTGAGGGGGCTGGCTTTAAGCAATTTATGCAATGTGTTCAACCTAAATTTAAAATTCCATCTAGATGGACTGTGGCTCGTGATTGTTTTGGAATATATATTGATGAAAAAGTCAAATTTAAAGACTACTTGGCTAGTAAAAAACAAAGGGTTTGCCTCACTACTGACACTTGGACCTCTATTCAAAGAATAAATTACATGTGTATTACTGCACATTTTATAGATGACACATGGACTTCAAAAAAGAGAATCTTAAATTTCATTCCTATTTCCAGCCATAAAGGGAGGGATATTGGAATGGAAATTGAAAAATGTTTACTTAAATGGCGAATTGAAAGAGTGTTGACAGTTACAGTGGACAATGCTAGTTCTAATGATTTGGCATGTCAATATTTGGAAGAAAAAATTATAAATTGGGGTTATTCAATGCTGAAATGTCAGTTTTTGCATGTGAGATGTGTTGCACACATAATCAATTTAATTGTTACTGATGGGCTGAAAAAATGGGGCGTTCAGTCAAAAAAGTTAGAGAGGTTGTTCGCTTTATTAGGCAGTCACCTATTAGAATGAGAAAGTTTAAAGAAAGTTGTGAAGATGAAAAGATTCAGAGTAAAAAAATGTTATGCTTAGATATTTCTACTAGATGAAACTCTACTTATTTAATGCTGGACACTGCCCAAAAGTTTGAGGCTGCTTTTAAAAGATATGAGCATAAAGATCCTTATTTTAGATTTGATCTTGAAGTTGAAGAAGGAGTGCCTGAAGCTAAAGATTGGAAAAATGTTAGGAGGTTAACCACTATGTTGGGTCATTTTTATGATCCTACTTTACATATTTCTGGTTCTCTTTTTGTGACTTCTAATTGTTTTTTCTATGAAATTTATAAGCTGTATCGCATCTTGGATGAGTGGAAAAAAAGTAATGTGGTGGAGTTGGCAAACATAGCAAGCAAAATGAAAGATAAGTATGATAAGTATTGGGGAGATCCTATGAAAATGAACAAACTTCTTTATGTTGCTACTGTTCTTGATCCTCTATACAAGTTGGATTGGATGCAATTTGCTTTGTCCAAAATGTATACAAGTGCTGTTGGTGAACAATTGGGGATGCATATTAAAGACGTTTTAATTTCTTTATATAATGAATACAATCAAGGTGTTTCTCCCTCAGCACAACCTGAAAGGGAATTAGTGCGTGACACAAAAGTTGATTTTGATGATGACGACGACTCTGCTTTAAAAGTTAGAAAATTACTTGATATGGAGGAGCAATTATTCATGGATGAGCGTCTTGGTGGGAAAACTTGCAGAACAGAGGTTGACAGATATTTGAATGAAGAAATTGAGCTTAGAAAAGATGATTTTGATATTTTGGGTTGGTGGAAGCTAAACAATCCAAGATTTCCTATTCTTTCTCTAGTAGCAAGAGATATCTTGGCTATGTCAATTTTCACTGTTGCCTCAGAATCTATATTCAGTACTGGAGGAAGGGTTTTAGATTCATTTAGGAGCTCTTTAACTCCTAAAGTTGTGCAATCTCTTATTTGTGCTTAAGATTGGCTGAGGCTGTCACTGCAATATCTTGTAGAAGAAGGGGATGATGATATACAAAAGATAGCGCTTGGTAATATTTTACTAATTCTTCATAAATCATATCTTGGTAAGAATAATACTATATTTATGTTGAAATATTAAGTCTGATCTTGTTCTTTTAATTGCTAGATTTGCAAAAAAATTGCATTGGAAGCAACGGTTGATATCTTGTAGATGCAATATGAAACAAATTACAAGAGTTGCAAGTAATTTTTATCATCTTTATATCATTACAAATTATAATTTTTAATTGACTTTTTGTTGTTGTAATTGTAGGAGATTATGATTTTTAATTGACTTTTTTTGTTGTAATTGTAGGTGGCATTCAGGGAGCAAGGCAGAAATTATCATGTTTTTTGAACTGTTATTATGTTTTTGTTGGATCAAGCAATACTAGATAGAGTTATTTAGTTTATATTTTGATCAATGGATTGATTGTATCAAACTTGACTTTCCCACATTCAAAGCTAGCTGCTGCTTATGGATGCATTTTATAGTCTCATATGTACAAGTTGTTTTGTTAAGTTACCAAGTTTATATAGTATCTTTTTATTTAAACAAATATATCCTCCTCTTAATATGGCTGCTGCTCTTTCTATTTTTTATTGTAAGCTATCTTGTGGCTTCTTTTTTTTTTTTAATGAAAGGTATGTATATATTAATTGAAATCATATAACTATACAAAAGACAAACAGGTTTCCTTTTCGTATCAGGGGTTATCCTTCTTCTTGTAGTGATTCCTTTATTTTGAGTCCAAGCGTCTTTTTTGGTTCAAAATAATAGGAAATACTAGGTTGAATTTGTCTTGGGCTTCAATTTTTCAAGTGGATAGATTTGCAACAAAAAGGCCCAATAAAAGGGCCCAATAACCGACCAATACCGAATAACCGAACCGAAATAATTCGGTTTTTTCGGTTCAGTTATTTAATATATTTCGGTTTCGGTTCGGTCTTAAAACTGTGTAATGTTCGGTTTTTCGATTTTTTCAGTTTTCAACGAAAACCGTTTGCTCACCCCTAGTAAAGTTTGAAAGTTAATATAAACATATTATGATGTTCTTCAAGTGTACTTGTATGCTATTTTGTTAGCACATTTTACCATTTGTTTAATTCCTCCAAGGGAGTTGGTGGAAGTTGCCAATGGCCATAACCGAAGTGGTAATTTTTATTACAAATGTTGTTATTCCCATTACAAATGTTATTATTCTCATTACTGGGGTAGTAAAATTGGCTCCAAATGGATGTTAATTGGGTTGGAAATAAACGAGGTGCAAATGGCAATATGGAAGTGGTAACTTGCATTACGAATGTCATTATTCTCATTATTGGGTAGTGAAATTGGCTCTAAATAGATTAAATTTGGTTTCAAATAAACGAGTTACAAATGGCAATACAGAAGTGGTAACTTGCATTATGAATGTTGTTAATCTCATTACTAGGGTAGTGAAATTGGCTCCAAATAAACGAGTTACAAATGGCAATATAGAAGTGGTAACTTTCATTACAAATATTGTTAATCTCATTACTTGTATAGTGAAATTTGCTCCAAATAGATGTAATTAAATAACCAGGTTGCAAATGCCATCACGGAAATGGTAACTTTCATTACAAATGTTGTTAATATCATTACTTGTGTAGTAAAATTGGCTCCAAATAGATGTAATTTGGGTTTCAAATAAATGAGTTGCAAATGCCATCACGAAAGTGGTAACATTTATTATGAATGTTGTTAATCTCACTACTTGTGTAGTGAAATTAGCTCCAATAGATGTTAAGTAGGTTGGAAATAAATGAGTTGCAAATGACAATACGAAAGTGACAACTTTCATTACGAATGTTGTTAAGCTCATTACTTGTGTAGTGACATTGGCTCCAAATAGATGTAATTTGGGTTCAAATATATGAGTTGCAAATGCCATTACGGAAGTGGTAACTTTTATTACGAATGTTGTTAATCTCATTACTTGCGTAGTGAAATTGGCTCCAAATGGATGTTAATTGGGTTTCAAATAAACGAGTTGCAAATGTTATTACAGAAGTCAAAACTTTCATTATGCATGTTGTAATTACCATTACTTGTTTAGTGAAATTAGCCCAAAAAGGATTTAAATTAGGTAAACAAATATCATAACTTATAACCTACAATAATAAGTCAAATATCATCACAATAGTTGGACACTACATTGACAAGTATTATATGCTTAATCTACGTAATATTTACTACTATCATAGATGTTGTTTTTGGGTCAGCATGATGGCTTGATTTGATGAAAGCAAGCTCAATACTTCGTCACGTTTTGAATTAAGGTTGTGATTAACTAGTCACCATATAAGGTTTCGTTGGAATTCAGCTACTTGTTCGTGTGTATAGTCAAGTATGACATCGGCCTTCTATTTACATAACAATATTAATATGTGAACACCATAGTCTCGCTTGCACATGAAAACATTCCAACAATATAAATGAATAAAAAAACAAAATAGAACAGCATTTACACATTATAATATCAACAACTTCAACCACTCACTGATTGTTTTGTTATGGAATTGGGACCCAAATAATATCACTCATTTTCTTCTTCTTCTTCTTCCTAATGGCATTAGGTTTAACTATGTCAATAATGTCATAAAATTGATTCCTCTAAACAATATATAGTTGCATTTATAAATAAAATAGTAAATGAAATGTAAATCATACAAGATGAGTTATATTATCCATACACATCTAGTGACTACGATCATAATGTCATCATTAATTACATCCTTCTTTTCACTCTTCTTCTTCCCATCTAAATTTGGCTTCATTAAGTCCAGGACATAGAAATTCATTATACTAGGCTCAAGCACAACACAGAACCAGTGAGCGCCAACAAGTGTGGATCCAAATATCAAATCACATTCTCCTATGTTGTAACCTATAATTTTAGGTAAAAATTGATTCTTTTGTTTTGTAGCAACCCAGCTCTCTGGGTTATTAGCCATTATTGTCTACAACATGAACGTGTTAGTCATTTATCAGCACAATCCACAAAATACTGACATATCAACAAGCTTATAATAAATTCGGTATAAAAAATGTGCCACTTGACTTGTCCTTCCTTCTTCATATCAGCCATTAATATCTTACACACAATTGACATCAACTGTATGCAAAGAAATGATAGTTATCATTAACTTAAAACACAACATCAACTAAAAAATTAAATCACCTAATCACAAATATTATGCTTACCTGGTTACCTATTTTCTCAATTCCACCAAGTGTCTTGGCTAATCTCGAGTAATATCTTTATCAGAGATTTTAACCAAAGGCTTAAAAATATGTTGTTACTATCATTATACGTGTAGTTAATTAGTACAAAACAGTAATAAATATCATTAAGTGGGTAGTGAATAAGTACTTGCTTGTCACCCTCCTTACTTAAACACATATGGGAAATTATGTCAAAAAACCGATCCTTGTCATCTATGTCCTCTTTCTCCTCTTAATTGGCTTTGTCAAAATCCATTGAGAATTTATAGCCAATTTC